TCAAATTTGCTCAACAATTTTTTTTTTTTTTTTAAATATCCTATAGGCAAAGTTGATTTGAACTTTCTGTAGAATTGTAATAATAAAAAAAAAATGTCACTATAGGATTCAACCTAATTTATATTCAAGTAATTTCTACAACAATAATAAATAACATAGATTTAATGAATAAACAAAAGGAAACAGTACGTTACAAAGCAAAAAAAAATGTTACAGTAACGAATATTCTATAACAGTAAGAACAGTATTATTATAAATCATATATATACACAGAATTTCAATCACTTTGAAAAGGTTAAATATATATATATATAGTATATATCGTATATCACATTTCAAAAATAATTTTAATAGTGTGATGAATATATATATATTTGATGTATTGTATATTACAATTACTATTATGCAGTAAGTGATAGAGTTTTTATAAAATTGCTACAGGTACGATATATATCTAACAGACTATATATATATATATTTTTATATATATATACTCATATGAAATAGCAGTTTTAGATTGTTGCGTCAGAACTGATAATATAATAGTAATAATATACAAACACTTAAATAACCCAAACACTATTATAACATATATTAATAGAAATTCAAATAAGAGTGAACTGCATAATTAATCTTTATAATACAACAAAAACAAATATATATATAAAGGTAAAAGAAAGCTGGATATGGTGAGACACGTGTTGGACACACTGTCCTAAAACTGCTATTTTCTCCTTATGTGCAGGTGGTGATGGCTATAGTAGTTCTAAGATATAACCCCAATCGCCCACAGCCACTAACTCCTCTATCAGCACGTTGACAGGAAGTATATAACCAAGTCGTGTATCAGTTGCCCAAAAGAAAGTATTACAATAATGATAGGTAAGGAAGAAAAAAAACAAGAGAATAGTTAGATACGTTGTTATATTTTCTGAATTGCTGGACTCCTATTTATAGATTAAGAGTCCAACGATAGTGTGAGAAAAATATGCATAACGTTGAGAAATAATCGTAACAACGTTGAAAGTCTCCATCTTAAAAATCTCAACTAAAAGGATTCTAGAGGAACCGTTCAAAGAGGTTTTGAAATCTTAATTTATAATATATTAACACTTTTTATCCCAGTTACATATAAATTCATTGATGGATAGTTTCTTTAATGTTTTTGAATTATAAGTTTGTCATACTCAGTTTCGTTATTATATATATGAACAATGCTACTCAGGCTGAGTCGCCATAAGCTAAGTTTCTCACGAAGGGTAGTGAAGTCCATATGCCTACTCAACTTGAGAAACATTTTTTGTTTATATATTATTGACCCAAACTTAATTACATTTACTACTGTGAGAGTCTTCATTTAAGCTTTGTGATAGTCATTCTTGAGTATTGCTACCAGATTATAAATGTCATAACTAATGGTATTATCAATTAAAAAAAAGTGTTAAAATGTGATTGTTTTGGATTTGGATAGATAATAGTTTTCATTTACTTTGTAATTATGGAGGTAATTGTAAGTGTTGTTGTTGCATTTTGTTCTGCCTGTTGCTCTCAAAAGAATTCAAGTATTTTTTATACCAAGTGTGTATAAATTGATTGACCGTTTGTTTAATGTTTTGGATTTGGTATTTTTTATATGAACAATGCTATTCAGGCTGAGTCGCCATAAGCCAAAAAAAATACAGAGAAAAAAAAAACCCAGCTATAATGTAGGATTATAATTTCTTTTGAACTTCATATAAGATTTATATATCCATAAATGTATATATATGTATTCATTGTATTTTTAATATATTTTTTATGCAATATATGTCTTACGCTTATTGTGCTTGTTTAATGTTCCTGAAGAAAATGCCCTGTGCATTTAATTCTAGAAAAATTTCTTTGTTTACAAGATGGCCCATATGGCTATATATGGGGAAAAAAAATCACTATTTTCTTCCGAGTGTTGGCATGCATTTTCATGTTCAGTTACAGATTTTTTTAACTATTACTAATCATTAAATTGTATAACATTAATGATCCTACACTGGAACCAAGCTAGTTGCTCATAAAATTATCAATTTGAGTTATTAGTCATTAATTATCAGAACAAACTATGTATTTAACAAGTCAATAATAGTTTATAACGTCAAAAACTCTCACCTCACATCTTGGAGGTTGGGAGTTCGAATCCCTTTGGGGCCACCTCCATGGAATTTTTTCAATAATTACTTGGTGCATGTGGGACGGAACTGTATGTGTTCAGTGGTAAATTATAGAGTACTTTAAGAGACCCGACACTACAATCGTTAACAAAATAAAAAATAATAATAGTTTATAAATTGTTGTTTAACTAAAGATGCAAAACAATTTTTTTTTTAGTTGATACCTACACATCCTCCCTCCAAAGAATTATTTGCACCTAGCAAGAATCGACATGAACTAGCTAGAAAATTCTCCTTAAAATCAGCCGGGTTTTTTTTATCTTAGTTTAGTATGTCAAGTTTTCCATCAAATCAGCATGGGAGTTCTTGAGGTACAAGCAGAATAAACTATAAAGTTGATTAGCAGGATGTAGTTTGGTTTAAGTATAGCATTCCAAAGCATGCTATGATTCTATGGATGGTAATTCTTGGTAGACAGTGGACTAAGCAAAGAATGATGCAGGTGGGCTTAATTTCTTCAGGGAGCTGCATTTTTTTTTGTTGGGCAGAAGTAGGATTGAAGATAGGGAGCAGCTATTCTTTTATTGCAGTTTCTCTAATAGAATTCGGAGATACTTAGCCGGTAAATGTGCTTTACAGTGGCCTAATATCGGTCTGGTATGATGCACCGGGCTATGCTAGCATTGAAAGTGAAATATTTTGTAGCTGTCATTAACAAGCTGGTAAAAGGATGTATGCTGAAGAGTAGAGGGACAGTGATACAATTTTGAGAGAAATTGTTCGGAATGTTAGATTCAGACTTCTTTCCATTCAACACATGGATGCACAGGATCAGTTGGAAATGAAGAACTGAGGGCAATTCAACAGCCCGAATTTTCTGTTTCGAACCCTTAGGTTGAGTTATGGTGTTGTGATGTGATTTATTCTGTATGCTAGATGGTGCTTATCTCTGTTGAGCAGACATGTTTTGGTGTTAATACGCTGAGGACTGAAAATGCTGATATGATGAGTGCTGGTTGTATGTTATTATGGGCAGTGTGTGGGGTGTATGGCCTGTATGCAGGTTCTGTGCTGCCACATATGCTCTGGTTTGATTTAGGTATATGTCCATGTTCTTGGATTTAATGACATATATATATATATATATATATATATATATATATATATATATATATATATATATTGGCAAACTAGGGGAAAGGGGACTGGAACATGGGCACACCCGCTCTGGAACTGGGCAACTGGGCAGTCTACCAGCTTGACTTGCTACTGGATAATGCCCCTTGGATTATGGATTAAATGATATTGACCAACATAACTTTCAAATAATAATAAAAATAAATAAATAAATAAATAAATATATATATATATATATATATATATATATAGAATTTGCAAAAATAAATAAATAGTTAATATATATATATATATATATATATATATATATATATATATATATATATTTTCAAGGCAAGAAGTGCATTGGGTTATGGAGGAATTTGCAAAAATAAATAAATAGTTAATATGATTGAAAATGCACATTTGTGAGTATTAACAAAAAGCATAATTGGAAGGTGGTATGCAGTTTATCCTCTCAATTTCATAGTTATAGAGGGGGAAAAAAAAAAGAAAAAAGAAAAAAGAAAATAGAGAAAGATAAAGTTGGTGATTTATTGAGTACCTGTGAAGGCATGACAAAACTTTAGCCAACCACTTGTAAAACAGAAGGAAAAATTTAGGATCTGAGCTTCAAAATGAATGGTTCCCAAAATCTGTCAACAAATCATTTTGAGATGCTGTGAATCCTTTGATTTTTTCTTCCCATTAACAAATATGCAAATATGAATATATTCATAAAGACACCCCCTTTTATAATAATATAGCCGAAGGCAAAGCCCAAAGCTTTTATAATTGTTAACTTGACAAATATACTTATTTATTCGAGGTTGTTCGGATTTATTTTTTTAAAAAATTACTTAACACTAATATTATCCTCAGGCTTGACTTGAAGAATTAGTTCAAGTTTTAGTTCTAAATTCATTAAACATGTCAAATGAGTATAGTTTTAGTACGGCTTGAATCATGGTTTGTAAATGCGTGCCGAGTAAATAATGAGCCTCTAATACAATTAAATCGAAATCATGTCAAATGAGTTAAGTTTTAGTGGGGTTTGAACCATGGTTTGTAAATGGGTGCGGGGAAAATAATGAGCCTCTAATATAATGAAATCGGAATTTATTATTGTAATTGTAAAATTTATTAATTATGCATACTGGCTCGATCAATTTTTTAAAAACTTATTTTGATTTAACCGATATAATATCGGACTACCTAACTGATAAGAATAATTATAACTTAAAGTCTTAAACCAAATTCAAAATGATTTAAACGGAGTTCTTAAAAGTTTGATTCAAATACATAACATGCATTATGACATTTATGCTTTAGGGTTAATTTATTTGTTAAAAAAAATATATATAAATAAAAGTATAATGTAACACTACCAACAAAAACAAAATGAAAAAATAAAAAAATAAAAGTACACATCAAAATGGTGAGGATTCTGACTCAATTTTGAACTTGGGAAATGATGACCCACTGAAACCAAAACCATTTAAATTCTCAAAGTCCTTTTGAAGTGCTTACCGGTCTGGTCGGTAACTTGAACCGGCTGCTTCTCAAAGTCCTTTTGAAATGCTTACCGGTCTGGTCGGTAACTTGAACCGGCTGCAGCCGGTTCCTGGCCCACATAAAACTTGATGAGATGGCGATGCAATGTAGAGAGAGAGCGAAGAGTACGTCCACGCGCGACACATTTCGATTTCGATCTCCTAAAAAAACCTCTTCTTTTGACCAGTTTTGTTTAACAATTTACAAACACAGTATTTATTTTCTCTCTCTCTCCATCCTAATACAAACACACATTTTCTGATTCTTCTCTCTCTTTCTCTCTCTATCTTCTTATATATCTATCAGTCTCATCATGGTTCCCGCCAATCTTTCCAATATTTATACCATATAAAACCCTAATCTTCTCACTCTACACTCCCAGGTGAACACCCATAACTCTGAAAGATCAAAACCATAAACTTCGTTTTGTAATGTTAATTCATGTGATTATTATGTGTTTTTTCAATGTCATTTTGCGTTTCTTTTTTTTTGAATGATTTTTGGTCAATTTTATGGTTTGATCGGTGGATCTTTCAGGTTGGTGCACATAATATATATACAACCAGAATTGGAGCGATTTGAAGGTTTGGATATATGTCCTTCAATCAATCAGGGGCTGAGAAGAACGAGCCGTTACCTAATAGAAAATTGGGTCGATCCGCGAGCTCCGGTCAGTCGAGGAATTTCTCCGGCGGTGGTGGGAAGGGCGGCGGTGGCTCCGCCGCTCCACCCTCATCTTCATTTTCGTCCAACCGAAGGTAGATTAGGGTTTACAGTTATGCATACAGATATGTACATAAAAGAAGGCCATTTCCACATATACATACATCTAACTGCACTAAGCACTAAATGCATATAGATTTGTAAATTTGAAATTAGGATTTGTGGGTTTTATTTTTTTTTGGGTCTTATGATGACGGTATGTTTTTATGGTCTGTGTTAGCTTTAAGAAGTCTAATAATGCACACGGAGGACAATCTAGGGTAAGCAATGTGAGTTTGAATTCAGATTCTAATAATGCTTCTGCTGCCCGTACAGTACAGAATGGTGCCAATTTACGACCACCGTTACCTGGTATGTGGTTTTTTTCCCTTTTCTTTTTTCTGAGTAAAATCTTGAATAGCGTTAGTTTTAGAAAATTTAATTTGAAGAGAAACCTTTAGTTTTATTGTGGGTGTGTTGTACATTTTGATGGAAATATTTTATCTTGATTTGTAATATGTGATTAACAATCTTGGGCGATATGATGGGAGAATTAAAGAAATTGGTTTTGCTTATTTAATCTGATTTTTAAATTCTTACAACTTCTCTTCATTTGTTCTTATTTAGCAGCATCTGATGCTCCGGTCACAGGCGTTACTGTCAAGTCAACTGATGTGTCTTCCCAGAAAAGCACCCGATCTGTTCCAAGGCCTCCATCTTCTCATCCTGCTACTGTCAGTTCTGACACCACAACGCCCGTGACACCTTTGAAGGGTAACATCCATTTAGTGTTTGATTATGTTTATAAGCTGTGGATAAGTGTTTTGGTTTCCATAAATTATAAAAACTTTGGCATTGTTTAATTTTGAAATAGTTTGTGAGCTTCAGTCTTTATTTTTTCTTGACATTTTGTACTTGAACCAGACTACTAGTACTATAATTATACTCAATGAAATGTTAATACTGTTGTCTGATGGCTTAGAACCAGGAGATAAGTCGACATCATTCACTCTTCAATTTGGGTCCATAAGTCCTGGTTTCATGAATGGAATGCAGGTACTTCAGTATTCTGTTACGCACTTTATGCATATTTGTTTTGTTTATTTATTTATTAAGTTCATGTATATTTTATAAGATCTCCTAGACTTTGTGCAATTCAACAATTTTCGTAGTCTTTTTATAAGAGATAAAAGATTGTGTTCCTATTTCTTTTTCAGATACCTGCTCGAACTAGCTCAGCACCCCCAAATTTGGATGAGCAGAAACGTGACCAGGTTTGTGGGCTCTCTTCCTCTTTTATGGATGTTTATCAAGCAATACTGGTTTATAACAATTTAGGGTTGTTTTAACATCTTTTACCATTGATACCCGAAAGGTTTATCAACTTAGAATTTGAATTTGGTATGGATATGGTATGTTCTTCTGTGTTAGTGGTGTGTACCCAACAAGTGCCATTTTGGCTTTTGATGTAAACAAATTAGTAGCATGATTTGTGTAATTTTTTGGCTATAAAAACAAGTAGCAAAATCTTGACATCATTAAGGCTGTTTTTTATGTGCTCATTGGCATTTTCCTTGTGCTCTGTGATTCTCTGTGTGGCAGCTGCTCCATGATTCTTTAAGAGCTGTACCTATGATGCCAAGTTCAACAGCTCCTAAGCAGCAATTACCAAAGAAGGATGCAGGTGATGTTGATCAATCTGACACTAGCAATGATCATCCAATGCCCAAGGCTAAGAAGGACGTGCAAGTTTTATCTGCACCCCCTGTAACCCAGCCGCAGAAGTCTTCTGTTCATTCTTTGACTGGGAAACCAATGCAAATGCAGTTCCAGCAACCACAGGTTGCCATTCAATTTGGTGGTCCAAACCCACAGATTCAGTCTCAAGGAATGGGGGCTCCTCCATTGCCTGTGCCATTGCCTATGCCGTTGCCAATGGGAAATCCCCAAGTGCAGCAACAGGTATTTGTTCCAAACCTCCAGTCCCATATGGTGCAAACTCAGGGGATCATTCACCCGGGCCAGAATTTGAATTTCACATCTCAAATGGGTTCTCAGTTACCTGCTCAGTTAGGCAATTTGGGAATTGGTATGGCCCCACACTTTTCTCAACACCAGGCAGGAAACTTTGGTGGCCCTCGTAAAGTCAAGATAACTCATCCTGACACGCATGAAGAGTTGAGACTTGATAAGAGGACAGATTCATGTATGGACAGTGGGTCATCAGGCTCGAGGTCGCATCCAAATGTGCCTCCCCAATCTCAAGCAATTTCATCCTTTCCACCTGCCCATCTTATCAACTACTACTCTAATTCTTACAATGCCAGTTCCCTCTTTTTCCAAGCTCCAAGTTCTCTTCCTCTAACTAGTGCCCAAGTTACTTCCGGTTCTCAGGCGCCAAGGTTTAACTACCAAGTTGGCCAGGGCCCTCAAACTTCTTTGATGAACCAATCTGCCCTTAACTCCCTTTCTGTTAGTAATATTAGGGCCCCATCTCCCATTATTGGTGAACCATCTAATTTGGAACATACTCGTGATGTTCATAACATATTCTCATCAGCTCCATCAGCTCCAGTACAGGTGACAGTGAAACCAGGTGCTGGTTCTCATGGAGGAAGGGTTGCTGATTCATCATTGTCAATTGACTCACCTGTCATTGAGAAAAGTGAGTCTACTAATATTTCTAAGCCACACGGGGAGGCTAGCTCAATTGATCCTCAAAGGAATCCCGATACAACTTCTAGAAGCTCTTTACAGCAATCAAAACCTGGTCTCGCACCAATAACTACTACATTGCCTGTGGCTAGGCAACAATCTGTTGCAGCATTTGTTTCTCTTTCTGCGGATACCCTGGCTCCCAACACTTTGTCTACTTCTCCTGCTCCTACTGAGCAGTCTGCATCAGTTGTGACAAGTTGTAATGAAGGCATCAGGGAAATAATTTGTAGGTCTGACTCAATCAAGGATCAACAGGAGAAGCCAGGAAACAAAGGACAAAGCCATTTCCAACCGCAGCATCAGGTATTCTAGGGTGTTCCTGTCAGGTGATTTGTTTCTACCGGATTTCTACTAGTAGTGACTATTTTAAGTTGTGGATCTGGATTTCGTACTTTTTTTGCAGGTTGGTGGACGTTCTACCTCTTCTTTGTGCTTACCTTCTGAGTCTTTAGAAGAATTAGAACATACTAATTTTTTCAACGATAGAACTGAAACTGGAGAGGCTAGTACAAATCCTGCTTCATCAGGTACTATTGGAGGTGTCACTGAAACTGCTGGGGACCCACCTTTAACCACCGGTATTGACAGGCATGATGCTTCTGATTCCAAAACTGATTGTGTTGGCGAAGGCTCAACATGTGTGGCAGTGGAAATTATTGGTGGTGGTGGAAAAATGACTGATACATTGGACACTAATCATTGTAATCAGCAAGATGATTTTCCTCTGCATGAAGAACAATTAAAGCCTGAAACTGCAGGAACAAAAGAACAAACTGAAGGTGCTAAACAGGATGAAATTGCCTTAGGACAAACTGAACTGAACTCCACTCTTGAGCTAACAATTACTGGCAATGAGCTTGGATCCTTGCAAGCTACACAGAAGGATCGTAAAGAGCCTGCGGGTTGTTGCACAAAAGATGACGGGATGGCTGATAATTCAGTGATGACCACTTCCATTGCGCTTGATGATATAAATGCTGAATTATCAAGTTCTGATTTATCTACTTCTTCTCATGGCTATAAGATTTCAACTTCAGATACCTCTTCTAGTATGTGTGATAGCATGGATAGAAAAGAAGTTCTTATAGGATCTGGTATGCTAGATCTGAAGTTGTCTAATGTTTCAAATTCATCTCTTCCAGAAGTAACTTTGGAACATGAAAGGAAAGGTACTGATTCTATTAGTTTGGGTGTGGTCTCTCTTTCAACCTTAGGTTCTAAGGATAAATTTATGCTAGAACCTAACAGAGCAAAGAGTACTATTGCTAGAGGGAAGAAAAAGAGGAAAGAGATTCTACAAAAAGCAGATGCTGCTGGGACAACTTCCGATCTTTATATGGCATACAAGGGTCCAGAGGAAAAGAGAGAAACTGCTGTCTCTTTAGAAAACAGTTGTAGCAATAATTTGGAAGTGGCAGATGTTGATGCTTCTAGGGAAGGTGTTGTATCCAGTGAAAAAAGTGGGCAGAGTAAAGCTGAACCAGATGATTGGGAAGACGCAGCTGACATCTCTACTCCGAATTTGGAACCTTCAGATGGAAATGAAGTAATGGCAAAAAAGTATTCTAGAGATTTCCTACTTACATTTTCAGAGCAGTGCACTGATCTTCCAGAGAATTTTGAAATTAGATCTGATATAGCAGAGGCGTTGATGATTTCTAATATCACTGTTTCTCTTGAATCACATCCTTCTCCTGGAAGAGTTATTGATAGGCAGAATGTGGGATCTCGACCAGACTGGCATGGGCGTGGCATGGGTGACGATGAGAAATGGAGTAAACCCGGTCCTCTTGCCTCAGGAAGGGATCCGCGATTAGATATTGGATATGGGGGAAATTTTGTAGGTTTTCGACCTGGCCAAGGAGGAAATTATGGTGTTATAAGGAATCTAGGTGTGCAGGTACCTGTTCAGTATGCTGGCGGCATTCTATCTGGGCCTATGCAATCATTGGGTTCTCAGGGAGGTATGCATCGGAATAGCCCTGATTCTGACAGATGGCAACGTGCCACTGGTTTTCAAAAGGGTTTAATTCCTTCTCCTCATACTCCATTACAAGTAATGCACAAAGCTGATAGGAAATATCAAGTGGGTAAAATAACAGATGAAGAAGAGGCCAAGCAAAGGCAGTTAAAAGCTATCCTAAATAAGCTAACTCCACAGAACTTTGAAAAACTTTTTAAGCAAGTGAAAGCGGTTAACATTGACAGTGCTGTTACTCTCACTGGCGTGATTTCGCAGATATTTGATAAAGCTCTAATGGAACCAACTTTCTGTGAAATGTACGCCAACTTCTGTTATCACCTTTCTGGAGAGTTACCTGATTTCAGTGAAGACAATGAAAAGATCACTTTTAAAAGAGTACTTCTAAACAAGTGCCAGGAAGAATTTGAGAGAGGGGCAAGGGAGCAGGAAGAAGCTAATAGAGCCGAGGAAGGTGAAGTTAAAGAATCTGAAGGGAAAAGAGAGGAGAAGAGAACACAGGCAAGAAGACGAATGTTGGGTAACATTCGACTGATTGGGGAGTTGTACAAGAAGAAAATGTTGACTGAGAGAATAATGCATGAATGCATTAAGAAGTTGCTCGGTCAGAATCAGAATCCTGATGAGGAAGATATTGAAGCTCTGTGCAAATTAATGAGCACAATTGGAGATATGATTGACCATCCAAAAGCCAAGGAACATATGGATGCATATTTTGATATGATGGAGAAGTTATCAAACAACATGAAACTGTCTTCTAGGGTGAGATTCATGTTAAGGGATTCGATTGATCTGAGAAAGAACAAATGGCGACAGAGGAGGAAAGTCGAAGGGCCGAAGAAGATTGATGAAGTGCACAGGGATGCTGCTCAGGAACGGCACGGACAAGCTGGTCGGATGGCACGTGGTTCGGGCATGAGTTCCTCAGTTAGAAGGGGTCAACCAATGGATTTTGGTCCGAGAGGGTCAAATATGTTTATTTCTCCAAATGCGCAGATGGGTGGTTTCAGAGGGTTACCCATGCAATTCCGTGGTCATGGCACTCAAGAATTTCGGTTGGAGGATAGACATTTGTTCGAGAATAGGACTATGTCAAATCCCTTGACCCAGAGACCTATTGGTGATGATTCTATTACCCTTGGTCCCCAAGGTGGCCTTGCTAGGGGAATGTCCTTTAGAGGCCAGCAATCAATGGCAAGCATTCCCTTAGCTGAGACACCAAGTCTTGGAGACTCCAGGAGACCTATTGGTGATGATTCTATTACCCTTGGTCCCCAAGGTGGCCTTGCTAGGGGAATGTCCTTTAGAGGCCAGCAATCAATGCCAAGCATTCCGTTTGCTGAGACACCAAGTCCTGGAGACTCCAGGAGAATGACAGCTGGTTTAAATGGTTATAGTTCTGTATCACAGCGAACCACATTTGGCTCAAGACAGGATCTCAATCAGAGATACATCTCAGACAGGTTTGCCAGTCCATCTGTTTATGACCAATCGAGTATACAAGAACGATACACGAGTCATGGGAACAGGGACCCAAGGAATGCAGATCATAGTTTTGGTAGGTCCCCACCAACTTCACCATCCACAAGAGTTCAGGGATCAATTTTCACACAAAATATTTCTTCAGAGGAGGTATGGCAAGAAAAACGCTTGCGGGACATGTCAATAGCAGCAATTAAAGAATTCTACAGGTATTATGTGGTCTCATACGCGATTTTTCATATTTGCATTTTCCCCAATATTCCACATGTTCAATATAATCATCAAGGAGCGCTGCATTACCAACAATTAAGTTTGTGAGTGCTTGCACCTTTACATCTGTGTTGAATGGAAGTATGTGAGGCTTGAATGTGTCTCAATAAAATGTTGAAGAAAACCTTATTTCTGATAGTTGTAGCACTAGAAATTTGCCTAGTCTACTTCTCTAGATATCAACAAAAAGGAAATAGAGAGAAAAGTGAGGAATCTCCTAGGTTGGGAACAATGAGAAATGACAGTCTTCTTCCATTTCCGTTGGCATCCAGTATAAAGCATCTTGATATCCTAGTATTGCAAGTGATGTTCAATAACGTTATTTGCCGTTAAATTAACAACAAATATCTACTTTTGATAGCTATTTCCACACTAGTTCTAAGTCCATTAAATTTCCAGTATATTAGCCTCTTCAAACTTGTGACTATAATTTTGTTATGTTATGCATGAGTTTGAGGTGCTGTATTGGGTTAGATAATTAAGAGACTATATGGAGAAGGTGAGACCATCATGTTATAAGGAAAAGAAGGTCTTTAGGAACTTTGATTTAGATACAAAGATTTGTGTGAAGATATTTTGAAAATTTAGGAGCAAGCATGTGTATCCATTTTTCAATATCTGATTCTTCAGTTTTCATTTGAGAAGTCCAACCTACAACCCATTTTTTGCATTAATGGATTTTAGAAGCACTCTCATGTTACTGTGAATAATGTTCTTCATTAAAAACTTGTGGTACAAAGATTGATCGACCCTGTTTTACCTATGAATTCATGTTTTAGGAAAACAAATTCCAAAAGCAAATATTTGCGATTTTGTAAAACAATCAAACTCATGAGTTAGAATAACCAGCTCTAATATCGAGTGAAAGTTGTGCTTAACGAAAATCTTAGTGATTAAGATCTGTGGATTAGCGCCACTAGACCTAGAGGGCAGTGAAAGGTTTCCCCTATCTCTCTCTTTCAATTCTTCTTTCTTTTATTATTGATTACAATAAATCTAAGTACTTAACTAAGCAACTGCACAAATCAATCATCCATAAATCAATAAAAAAAATAAAGCAGCAAAGTTAACCCCATAACTTTTATGTGAAAATAAAAAACTTAAATTAAGAAATACCAAGGAACCCTTGTCAAATACTCAAAATACTCTGTAAAATCACTGACCTGTTAATTTATCTTCGATTTGTCATTTTAATTAGTTCTACATGTCTTCACATGTTATTCCACTCGATCCTCATACTAGCCTTGCGAGTCCTATCATTGCTTGTTGTCAATGTACATCATGACCATCTTCTATATAGTGATTGTCAATCAAAATCTTCTCAAGCAATTATGAATCAACTTCTATTGTTCTGTAGTATCTTCAGTCTCAGCACTAAGAACTGTTGAGTAAAACAAAGAAAATAAAAAGAAATAATAATAATAATTATAATAATAATAATATAACATAGCAATAATAATATATATAAAAAATAGTACAATATGGCACCCAACAATAAAACAAATACTCTAACAAGAACAATGATCAATGCATGCATAAGTTCTAAGTCTCTTAATCTCTTGGTAGATGTATGCTCTCTCTCTCTCTCTCTCTCTCTCTCTCTCTCTGTGTGTGTATGCATTTATTTATATTTCTATTTCTTAAACTAACCTTTATATCATTCAGAACTATATTTCCCAAGCTGAACATCAAATACAAGGGTCGTTACCCACTGTTCTCGTTAATCAAGGAATGCCCGCTGGGGTGGATTGGATACAGACCTACCTTTCTGTGAATATCAAATAAAATCTATTTCGAAATTGGGAACTCCTGCTTTTTATCACTGTCAAACTATGTACCAATACGTAAATTCTATGTACCAGTGCATAACTTCTGTTGAGGAATATAGAGGTGCTAGGATCATGTACCAGTGCATAACTATTGCTCCAATATGTTCTTTTTACAGACCAGCTCAACTTGTGAGTCTAAAACCAATTGCGACACATTTTTTTCCAGAACTACAAGCCTCGGATACAATTTAGAGAACTATATAAACAGAAACAACTTGGAAATTTTGAAAAATCAAATTTATAAAAAATTTACATTATCCTTATGTGTGATCAAATCTGTTCTCAATTGTTTATTTCAATCAACTTGACCACCATATGATTTTTTATCTGATCTTCATTAAACTTTGTCAAATGATGATCAACATTCACTTGAATATATTCAAATGTAGAACGTACTCAAGTTTAACTCAAAAATTAACAAAATTACAATTTGATCAAAGCTGATTTTTTTGACATGAAATTCACCAATCAATGACCCCAAGGACCATATGAGGCAATTTCATTGCATGCATAGAATTATTTTGTAGGATTTTAAGAATGGGAGTTTCAATTTTTATGCTTCAACTGCCATGTAAAACTAAAAAAGCAAATTCCTTGATGTTGCGTTTGGAAGCACCGAATCGGCATCTTGGATTTGGAATTGGAGCAAATTTAGTTCAAAGTTTTAACTAAATTTTTTTCAAATCCAAACCACCGATTCGGTGCTCCCAAACATAGCATGATTGTTTTTGTACATTCACTTGCTTGTTACTTCATAATGCATGGGTCAAGGTTGTACCTTTTCCACCCCTCCTGACACTCCTCTTGGCGGGTGTTTTTATTATTATTATAAATTTTTTGGGTAAAGTACAATGACACCCCCTGAGGTTAGGCATAAGGACAATCATATACAAGTTAGCCTATTTTTGGACAATGACACCCCTTTGTAAGATTTGAAATCCAAACAGAGCTTAAAAACATGTGAAAAGTCTACTTTACCCTTCATTATTTGATTAATTTCTGAATTACCCTTTTCCTTTCTCTACACACACACACACACACATATATGGGGAACTCTAACATCCCCTCTTTCATGGGGATGATAAGATTGTCCCCATATTTGTTTGGACAAAAATAACCACACTAGAGCATGCCACATCATAAAACATATGGGCACTAATGTAATCTTAGAGCAAAGCCCCCACCCATTTTGAACTCCAAACCCCCCCCCCCCCCCCCCCCCCCCTCTCTCTTAACATTCTCCCTCTGCTCTAAATCACCGTCAGTTATGGGGACGACTTCGGTGGTTGTCTGCAATGCGGATGGCAGCGGTGGTTGTCTGCAATGGGGATGGTGGCAGTGGTTGTTGACTATGGGGATGGCAGCGGTGGTTGCGATTGTTGACTATGGGGACGATGGATGTGGTGGGGAATGGGGATGGCGGTGGTGACGTCTGCTGGTGGTGGTTGTGCGATAGGGATGGTGGTGGTGCTATTGATTTTGCTGGTTGTGGGTTTTGCTGTGGAGATGTCGTTCATTGGCTGGATCTGCATTAGAGGAGGATGATATGCGGTGACGACGGCGAGGTCTACGACGGGATTAGCAATGGGCGATGGGGACTACCATTGTCGTGAAGAAGCCGCCACCGTCTCACAGTGCCGTCGTCGTGATGCCGCCGTTCAAAGATGCATGAGTCCCAATTGGATCTCTTGCAGTCGTCTTGAAGCCATCGATTCCTCTCTTTTTCACAATTGTTTTTGGTGATTTTTTGGATTTTCGGTGAATTTCGGGTTTTATTTGTGGGAATGAACAGTGGTGGTGGTGGTGTGGGTTGGAATATTGGTAGTTATGGAAGTGGACGTGGCGGCGCTGGCGGTGGTTGTGGTTGTGGTTGTGTTGGTGGCGGCTGCGGTGGGTGAATACACAGTGGTGGTGGTTTTGGGAATGGAGACTATGGTGGTGGTGGTTCATTCGCTAAGAGGTGTGCGACGACGGCTTTGTTGGTGGCAACGACGGCGACAGCGGTGAGGGGTTTAGGGGCGGAGAGGCCGTGGTTTGACAAGCAGAGTAGTGGCGGCGGCTTGTTTGGGTTAGGGTTTGAGAGGGGAAAGAGAAGAAGATAATGAGGAGAGATAAAATTTGGGTTTTTCACATGGGTTGTACCCGGTAACCCATTAAACCTATTTAATTCAAGGGTATTTAAGTCAATCAAAAGGGTTGTATTGTTTAAATTGATAATTTAATGTGTCAAAGGATAATAAAGTCAATTCACTATTGTCAGGGTGTCTTTGTTAATTTTTAAAACCTGAGGGGTGTCATTGTCCAAAAATAGGCCAACTTGTATATGGTTGTCCTTATGCCAACCTCAGGGGGTGTCATTGTATTTTACCCTAATTTTTTTTACTTGAAGACTTAATACATGAACATGCATTCATTTGCTATGAATTGATCAAGTATATGTATGATTGGGGTGGAAACAAGTGATCTTAAGAAGAATAGAGCCTAAACTTTTTAGTGTCACGGGAATATAAATGGAGTGAGAGAACAAGTCATCTTAAGAGGAGCTTGAGTATGTTCACAGCTCACTGTCTCTCCGCTCTCCACCATCCACTCTCCACCTGGCAGTATGATCCTTCCGATCCCCGTCTCCCTCTCTTTTATGTTTGATGGTTGAGTACTGGCGAAAGGTTCCTTATAATTGGGCATAGGAAAGGGAGATGAAACTTGTCCTCGTTCAATGTGGTTTGGGGTTTATCTTTTTTCTACACCTTCTGACCATGTTGCCTTACCTAGTAAATTGTAGGGGGACAATAACAGATTGTCTTGCGATTGTATTTTGAAAAGTGGACGGGGATCATGAAGGCTCATTAAATCTCTGAAGAAATGAAATATATATCTCAAGTTGTGGCAAATAAACAACTTGAGATATATCAACAATTTTGTCAGTTTATTCTTCTAAAGATTTTTCAGAGAAAAATTTAAGGTCTCTATCTTTTCATGGTGAGACTCGATTGGTTTGTCCTTCCCAAAATGAATTGATAATAAAAAATGGGAAGTAAGAAGGGAGGAGGTGTTGAATTTCCTTTAGCAGTTGACTGTTTTCATGCTATCAAATGAATTTGCGAAAAGAGGTCCATAAAAAATTTATCCTAGGCTGAAGCGGTTCACTTTTTTCCAATTTATGTTTTAGTATTCTTCTAGGTTACTATTTCTCCATATGATCATACTTATGGGCCAACCTTCTAAGGCAAAGCTCGCTGAGCTTTCTCTCCTGGTTGGAAGGAGACGGGGATTTTCATCCTGGTTGATCTTACTTGGGGCCAAGAAAAGAAATAGACCTTGTGAAAATCTCCTTAAGTTCCTTAGATCTAATGACCGGTTCATTTAATTCCAAAGAAAGGCTGCTGGCTTCAGGTCCATTCATGGATAGTTGTAAAGCTTGCGAAAATTTAGTGGATGTGGGTAGATTATCCGACCCTGAGCAATGTTAGTTATTAATTGGGGTTCGGTCCGTAGATCTAAATGATTATGCTCGCTCATGATAGGGATTCAGTTTATGCTGTGGTTTAATTCTATATAACCTTGGAGAAGTTATTTTGAACAATCAATTCCACCTTTTTTTGCTGTTTGTTCCAAGCATGGGTGTTCTCTCTCTATTTTTTCTCTTCATTCTTTCTTTTGGGGAATCATATTCCTTAATTTGGAATTTCAATTTTTCTTCTTGGCTTTCTCCATAAATGTTCTCTCCCATTGAAAGAATTGGTTCTCAGATCAATAGGGATACAGGATGGTTGCTGGGTCTCAGGCTTGCCACAGTGTCTCGTTAAGGCTGTACATTCTTCTCTTTACATTAAACAACTGATTGGCCAATTTTGTTACTATAATCTGCAAACCTTTAAACTTAGTATAAGACTGCCTTTACTGATTTTAAAAGGAATAAAACAAATAAAGAAAAGAACAATGTTGTTGGGTTGGTGGGTTGGGGGGGGGGGGGGGGGGGGGGGGGGGGGGTGGGAATGACGGGATAGGCATCTGCCACCTGTTATTTCAGGGCTAGACACGATTTTCTTTCTTTTTATTTATTTATTTATTTATAATAATAATAAAAATAAAAAATCTGAAATTGTGAACTTGAATATGGGCGCCAAATCCAAACACACAAGTTCCTCTAATCCATAAGCTACTATACGAACTCTTGTACTCTTCTGGAAATACTCCTATTCACACGCTTTTCTTTACGTGTATAAATTGGATGTGATACTCTAGTATAAAAAACATTTTATTGTGTCCTAGGCAAAATCTAGGCCATGGCTTTTGTAACAATAGTGTTAAATTTTGGGAATTGAAATATAATGGCTCTAATGTGGATCCTTTTATAGAGGTGTTGAAGAATAGTATAATTTTTATTGACATGCACTCTTAACTTTGCTTTGGTGTGGGTTTGAGAATAGATGCTGTGAAGATCATTCATTATGTGCATCTTTTTAGCTGTCATTGCTCCTTGTATGTTATCTTTGAATTGTGAGTGTAGCTTTGATTTTTATATGCATATATTCATTTTTTTGAATTCCAAATGGAACTGTTCTTATTTTCAGCGCTAAAGACGAGAAGGAAGTTGCTCTTTGTGTCAAAGAGTTGAATTCTCCGAGCTTCTATCCATCAATGGTATCTATCTGGGTCACAGATTCTTTTGAGAGGAAGGATGCGGAGAGGGATCATTTGGCTAAGCTTCTGATCAACCTTACAAAATCACGGGAGGTTACATTAAGTACAGATCAACTCATCAAAGGGTAGGAAAATGTCATCCTAGATGCGACCAACTCCCAAATTTAAGTTGAATTCCTGTTTCATTTGGTAATTTTGCATTTTCTTTGGCCAGGTTTGAATCTGTTCTCACTGAATTGGAGGATGTTGTAAATGATGCCCCCAGAGCAGCTGAATTTCTTGGTCGTATCTTGGCAAAACTGATCCTCGAAAACTTGATTCCATTTTCAAGGATCGCACATTTGATATACGAAGGTGGGGAGGAACAAGGACGACTGGTAGAGATAGGGCTTGCAGCCAATGTAGTTGGTAGCATCCTGGAGATAATTAATTCAGACAAGGGAGAATCTGCTTTGGCTGAAATTCGTGGAAGCTCCGATTTGCAGCTAGAGAAGTTCCGGCCTCGAAATTCTAACAAAAGTTGGAGATTAGACAAGTTCATTTAAAGGATACTGATGCTCACTCTGTGGTTAAAAGATATTCATTTCTAGTGCTTTTAGGGTACCCTTACCCTTTCAATTTGCAGAAATGTATCTTTGTGAGGGGGGAGAGAGAGGGCAGATTCACATGAGGTATCCTTCTTCATGTTTTAATATTTATTTCTTTAAATTGCCAAAAGTTCAATTCAGCCTCCAAAATTTAGCATATCATCTCACATGGTATTGCCCAAAAACACCAACTGCTTCAAACTTGAACATTACTTATTTTCACCTGTTGCAGGGACCATAATGAGTTTTTTTTTTTTTTTTTTTTTTAACTCTTTTATGTTCTAAACTAGACAATAATTTCGTGGATACAGACTTTTGGGTTGTGGAAATAGAATTTTATATATTGAATTTAATGTTCAATTATTTATTATAGAAAATTATGGCACAAGATAATTTATGCATCCGAGCCTATTTTAAGGTAAAGGTGATGTATGTCCATATCCACGCACACACAATAAGTGCAAGCCAACTGGGATTACAAAACCTGTAAGACCTGTTTCAGGTACAATTTAACCACGTTCGAAATGTGATAAAAAGGATCATGTCCAATGATTATATTTTGATACAGTTGTTAGAGTTTTTTTTATTTTTATTGGATCATTATTCTTCCCAATCATTTTGTCATATATATATATATATATATCTTTAACCCATGTATCTTTTTATGTTCAAGACTTGCTATTTTAAAAAATTAAAAAGAAGATCCTCTCTTAAGATGTATATTTTATAAGTTGGATAATGCCTTTCTACTTTCTAGCAATACAACTAAAACATTTTCAATCAAAATGATTCTTCGATGTTCTGTCGGTTTTTACCTTTAATTATTATTTCATCTAGTTAAAAAAAGAATATATATATATATAAACTATTCCTTAAAAATATATATTTTTTCTGGAATAGTGACATAATTGACATTTTCTAAAAAGAAAGGGTTATTTTAACCATAACTTACAAACAATTGTGGGGAAATATTTACTATATTTATGGGGCCACTGAAGCCTTCTTCAACCAGTCTGGTCCAGTCCATTCAGGTCGGCTGCTGGGCCGCCAAAGCCTACTTAAACAAGTCTGGCCTAGCCCTTTCAGGCCATCCACCGGGCCACCACTACAAAGCTTATTGGGCCACGGAAGCCTGCTAAAACAGTTTGGCCCACAATACGGAATAGGCCAGGGCCCAAATTACCCTATAATGGGCTCTAGGGCAACGCTTATACGTTGTATGTTATGAAACCATCGTATAAGAGACTATCGTTCATTTGACTGCTTAACAGCGAAACCTAGGTCTTGCAGATTCCTCAACCTTCGTCTCTCACTCCTCTTTGTCCGACCTAAGCTCTCCAAAATGGTACTCTCTCTCTCTCTCTCTATCTATATATATATGTACAATATATATGTTAACGTACTTTTTTTTGTGGATTGTAATCTAATCTGGAGTTATTTATTGTTGATTCGGAGAAGCTTGAAAGTTAAGACTTTTAATGTTCTGTGATTTTTCTAATTATAGCGTTCATTTTTCTGTTTTTTTCTGCTAGTATTTGTTAACCTTTTGTTCATATTAAGGTTTTGTGAATAGATCTGTGAAGGAACCTCATAAATTTGAACATATTGTTTGTTTAGTTGTACGGAATCAAGCTCGTTGTTTTAAATTGGTCTATGGGAGTCGTTTAAGTGGTTGATCTTGGATTACGGTCTCATTCCAGTATTTGTAGTGTTGAAAAGTGCATACATATTCGTTTATATATATATTTATTTATTTATATTTATATTTATATGAATGGATGTATACACATTTAATTTTTTATAATTGGATTTGAAAGCATCGAAATTGCTCAAGCGGAGGAGTCTATGTGAATCCTTTGAATAGAATACGAGGCAGTACACAGTACATTACCTGGGGAGGTCTTTTCCTCTTTTCTAGCATTTTTTGCTATCTTATATCCTTGGAGAAGAAGATAGAATGCTCAGTTTCCTTGTTGTATTTGATTGCTATGTTTACCTTGATTTGGTGCTAAATTTGTTGTGTTCCAATGGACTAGAGAAATAAGATTTATTTATTTATTTATTTTGCATTGTGGATTTTTCCGTTTCAGAATACCCATAACAATCTATTTGTGCATATTTTTATGCTATCATGGTTTTGTGCTCTGGTTTCAACGTTATTCCTTTGTTGTATGCAGACAAAAAGAACCAAGAAGGCTGGTATCGTTGGGAAGTACGGTATGTGCCTAACATAGTTGTTTCCCTTATCTTTTTGTTCTTAATTTTTCCTTTTCATTCTTAAATTTTATATAAATCTGAATATGATTAAAAGAAATTGAAGTCAATAAGTGATGAGTTGTTAACTTCTTAGACATATATCTGAACATTCAACTCCCTCAATCCTTCGTATCTGGATATGATTATTTGTATTGAGAGGTTTCTTGCATGAATATAAGTTTTCCCTATCTACCTATTGGTATATATGTTTGTAATCGTTCTAGCCAGTTGTATCCTAGCTCCTATGCCTTCTCTAACATGAGCCGATGGACTACTACAGTGCCAGAATGGAAAATTTGCAATGATGGTTTTCTCATTTTTCTTCCCTCCACTCCGTGAACTATTTAATTGAATCTGCATGAATATTGTATTTTTTTCCTTCTATACTATGATTGTCTACGTGCTTCTATGTATGCAAGTGTGTAATTTTGCACATGTTTATTAGAGAGGTTAGTTACTTATCTAATAACATTTCAGGTACCCGTTATGGGGCTAGTTTGCGGAAGCAGATTAAGAAGATGGAAGTTAGTCAGCATAGCAAATACTTCTGCGAGTTCTGTGGGAAGGTGAATCATCCTCTATGTTAGCTTGTTTATTGTTGGGTTTTTGGAGCCTGTCGATTCAATACATGCAGTTGTCTTAATCGAAGGTTGTGTTATATGCAGTATGCAGTGAAGAGAAAGGCTGTGGGAATTTGGGGATGCAAAGATTGCGGCAAAGTCAAAGCAGGCGGTGCTTACACGTTAAAGTAATTATCCTCTATCCTGCTCTCCCTCTCTCTCTCTCTCTCACACACACATGCACAAACACATGCAATATGTAAAGCATACAAGTGTTCCAGTTTGTAATCTCTCGTCCTGTTTTATTATATGACAGTACTGCAAGCGCTGTGACTGTTAGGAGCACCATCCGAAGGCTGAGGGAGCAGACTGAGAGTTAAATTTGCATGAATGTGTGGATGAGTGTAATACTAGTCATTTTATGTTTTATGGGATATCTGCTTGAATGCAGAGCTTTTGAAGTTAGTTAAATCAAATTTGACTGGTTGTTAAAAGATATATTGTTTCTGATGAACCATTTAATATTTTCACATTTAAGTGGGTGTTATTTTGTATTATGTGACATGTTCCGGTGAGATTTTAAGTCTGTGTTATTCAATGTTATTTATTCTGGTGTAACTTGGTAGCTACAGTTGTCTTCTGCTAGCTATTTGCGCATAAATATGGTGGAAAGCTTCAAGCAAGGCTTCCCTATACCCAAGAGTAATTGTGAAATTAAACATTTATACAGATCTTCATTGGCAAATGTCATTCAAGTCATGGGCAGAAGTGAATGTCATTGATAAAACTATAGAGTGTGGAAAATTAAGCACTGAGAATTTCTAGCGTTGCAAGTTTTTAAGTGGTACTTTAAAAATAAATATGTTTTGAAATCTTTTTAGTTTTTTTAGAGTTCAGTATTGTGAGATGTGCAATGGGAAAGGAAAATACATTAGATATTGATGTAATGAGGTTGTGTGTGACCTTTATTGACATTGTGCAGTTGTATTACTTGGATGTTTAAAGCTATTGGCTGAGATTTTCAACCCTGTGATGCCTCCCTTTTTCAAGCATGCATAATATCTGGAAAAGAATATGGTTCTTTTTTCTAATGAACAGCCCATGCCCTCATCCTGTGGCCCAAGGTAACGAAATACAGATCATTACATTTTGCAAGGATTCTAATGATATCCGAGAGAAGTTTGTAATTCACAATTCCTCAATCTCAGTTTATGCCAAGAGAATTCCATACAATTTGTCACTAATTAACAAGCAACATCAGCAGGGTTATATACTTACCATTTTGCTGAAAAAAAAAAGAAAAAGAAAAAATCAGCTGGGTTAAGGTTTTACCTAGGCACGAGCACTTGCGTTACAGCTAGGTCAACTTTACACAAAATAACTTTACACAAACGAACAAAAATGACACACCTCTACTAGAAAAATGCAGTAAGAGGGAAATTAAACTGAACAAGAATTGAGTTTAACAGAAAAGTAACAAAGCGTCATCCTCTTCTAGCAGCAACCTTGTGTAGTAGAAACTTGTAACTTGAGTTACAGATATAATCAGGTCTACTTGGTCTCTCACAGAATAGGCGTAGGAATGTTCTCACCATTGCCATTATGATGCATTTGTTTTTGAAAAGCCTTGACTGCCAAAACTCTAGCTGCATTGGCTGCCCTGTTGGCTGCTGCCACTGCCCTGTTCACTCTTTCATCCACCTTGGCTACGTCATAGGCTTTCTCTGCTGCTCGTTGTGCTTCCTGATAGTAAGAAAGATCAGATTAGAAATGCCTTCATCTTTTTTTCTTTAATTGTTTCATTTGTGTTTCTCTCAGGTGTTTTGACAAATTTTGAAGAGTAGATGCAATTTATGTCTTCATTCCTGTGACCTGTTTTTGGAATAGGCATACAGTTCCAACTTTACAAATTGTGAGGTCTCTCCTATTGGTGAACATTTTAGCTTGCGGTGAAAGAGTACATAAGACTGATTTCTTTTTCTTTTTTCATGGAAATGACTTGGGTCATTTGGATAGCTCAGGAGAAAATCAAGCCGACTTAGAATTGATTGGTTCTCCAAAGATTAGAACCAGCAGCAAATCACATAAAAAACCAAACCAACCCACTATTATATAATATGCCGTGTCAAGATGAAAGGATCATATTTCACGGTCATGTAGTGAAACACTGCTATCAGATCAACATGATATTTCCAACATCTAGCTTTATCAAATCCTACCTAACTGGATGGTTGAAGAAAAAGTATGTTCCAAGTTTATGGAAAAAACTCATCAAATTGTACTCAACTTTAAATCTCTACAAGATGTTATGATAGGCACATAAATAGATGAGGTTTAACACTTTGTTCTCATGCTGACATGGCATGCAAACTTAGAACCTTTTGAAGATGGGACTACACTTGAGCCATGCCCTTGGCCTTAACCAAAACAAGAAAAATACAATAAGGTGGAGAATTTATCTTCAAAACATGCTGAAAAGTGAAAACCTTCTATTCAGTTTAACATATTTGCAAAACCACAAATTTTCAGCAAAAAACCTCAAAAAATGCCCATATATAGAACAGAACATTTGTGCAAGAAAATTGAATAATAGTTGTGGTGAGTGAACTTAAATGTAGATCCTAGAATGAGATCGACCAAATCCAATGAAGATGTTGCTTACACATAGTTTAAGAGACAGACACTTTAAATCAGGCAAGCGTCACACATTCTGGATCACATATTTCTCACAATGCGGATAATCACTTAATAGTTAAATACTTCTAGGGCGTAATTCCTAAAAATCAAGGCAAGAATATAAATAATACCTGGACTACATTGAGTACTTTGGAATTATATACAGCAACAGGAGAAGAAGGACATGCGATGCTCTGTGTGCTTGGGATGTTGAGAATCCCGTTCTGCCAGTGCCCGGATTGGGTCTCACCGTTTCTAAAAGTGTACACTCCAAGTCCTTGCCTTCTACCCTCATGCCACGCTCCTTCATACCGATGCCCATTTGCAAAACGATAGATCCCGAACCCATGCATCTTGTCTGCAAAATATTCTCCAGCATATGTGTCTCCGTTTCTAGATATGATATTCAGATTAGTAAATGCCCAGATGTAGATTTAAAAATAAAAAATGAATAAAAAATATGATTTTACATGTGGCCTTGTACAGAAATGCATTTTTGTGGCATGTGATTATTCATATAGCTATGGCTGCAGAAAACTATAAAATTCAGTGTTCAATGTAAGGTGAGATCTAATCATTTCCAGGCTGAACCAAGTGGAGATGTGGCAGCTAGTTATATCTTCTTTAGGAATCAATACCAAGACAAGAATGACAGCAAATTCTTCTAGATGAATCATGATGAAACAGTTTATGGATGGTCGATTTGCCATGTGTGAGGATAAAAAATAACTCTTCAGACAATGGCCACCAAGTCTGAAGTATCGATTTGGGAATAGAAAAAAAAATGGGACCAAAAAAAAAGGATTAAAAAAAGATCAAGGTTTTTCAGAATATGAACCTTATCTATTATTAGTAAGGATATGAAATATACCAATAAGAAGAATATATCACTGAAATATCCAACATATTTGGCATGCTCAATCTCACCATTTCGCCAAGTTTGTCCATATTTAACATTCTATATGGAGTCAAATCTTATAATTTATTTTGCCCCTACTGAATAATTAGGTCCCCTCTCTATTTCTCACACAAACACATATAAGCATACACAATTTAGAGGTTGTCTTTCACAAATGTCATCATCATATCAATGTTAATATGTCCCGTCCATGTCCCCTGACTATTGTTTTCTATTGTCTAAGAGCTTGTAAACTAAAACTAGACTCCCTTTTTTGGTGTACCAGTCATACATAAGCTAACTACAAGTAATTTTGTTTCACTTCATTATTTCACGACTGATTTTAAAATGGTTGCATTTCAATATTTCAGCTCAGCATAAACTTATATATAGAAACACTTCTAACAGAAATAATTTGTATTATAATTTTTTTCCAGTACATTCACGAAACACAAAAAATATATATATATATATATATATATATATATATATATATACACACACACACACACCCTATATATTTGATAAGTAAGATTTCATTAAAGGCACTCAAAAGGAAAGCGCTCCCAAAGGAAACAAAAGCCGTCTAGGATGACACTATAACTGTAAGCTATCAACAAAATGCAAGAGACAATTCATAGAATTACAATCCCGCCCATTTGACCCAAAAGAATAAAGAAGTTAGGATATTGTATTTAAGAAACCAAATGTGAAACACAATATTGAGTAGATAGCAATGCACTAACGCATCACAACATCAACATAAAATCTTCCCCACTAACAGGAACACCACCCATGCAATCTAATATCCACATTGCGTCAATTTCATGGTCCAAATTCATCAGCCAAAGTTCGAATCTTTAAAGCTTATCTCCGATTTAATAAAAACATTACAATGCAACCAATTACACAGCTTACATAATCAAAGAAACCCCCTGCACATTCAACAAACTACAAGAACAAAACCCCATATGGTATGAACTCCATGAGTGAGAACAAAAACCAAATTATTATGCATGAAAGCATTCAAAATCACAAAATTCTTATCAAACAATAATCTAGTAACCGCAAATGAATCTAACTACTAAAACATCAGGTTCTTATAAATGAAAATAAAATCCAATAACCCATCTCCACAATTACCTGAAATGGTAGTGACCAAGCCCATGCTTGACCCCCCACTTGAATTCCCCCACATACCGGCTACCATCCTCGCAGGTGTGGACACCACACCCATGACTCTGCCCATTCGACCATTCGCCACCATAAACATCACCTGTATAAAACCTGTACACCCCAAATCCATGTCTAAGGCCTTGTTTATACTGCCCCCTATACCTACTTCCTCTCGCCCAAGTCTCCACTCCATATCCATCATATTTTCCATCAATCCAATCACCCTCATACCTCCCACTCATGTAGTAATAATACACCCCACTGCCAGAACACTCCCCCTTATGAAATTCACCCTCGTAAACATCCCCATTGCTATAAGCCTGAACCGAACATCCCGAATTCACCCGTTTCTCCGATATTGGCCCGGACCCAATTGACCAGAACACCGGCAATGGCGGTCTGGACACCGGAGTGGAGGAGGTGAGCTTGATTGGGAACGAACGGGCAAGCAATAGGCGAATTGATGGAAGGCGAGGAAGTGCTAGATTGAGAGAAATTAAAAGGGCAGTGGAGAATGCGAAAGCCGAGAAGAAATCAAGAACAAGAGAGTGACTTGGATGCGAAACCAAGAAATAGAAAAGGGGAAGAGACAACAACAGAATGAAGCGGACATGGCCGTGGAGGCGGCGCAGGTGGCGGAGGCGGAGGCGGTGGAAGAGTTGAAATGCGGCTGCTTTGGACGCCAAAGGGTTCGGGAACCGATATGGGAAGTGATTCTTCAACGAAGAATAAGGGTATTGATGAAGAGAATTGGACAAAGTTGGGGTTTTAGATAGATAACTTGAAGATTTTGTTGTTTGGGTCACCAGAGGTCGCTTATGAGGAGCAATTTTGGGCCAAGGGGAAGGGGTAATTCGGTCATTTTGGCACTCCGTTAGGTCGATGAGAACTTGAGGGTTTGTCTCAGAAGATAGAGTTTGCGGAGTGAATTGAAAATTGAGGCCTTGGTGTTTCTGGTAAATTGAAGAACCGAGAAGAGGCGGTGTAGGGTTGAAATCGGAAGAGACACCGCTGCTTTCTTTTCCGATTTGTTCTTCAGATTTCTTGTGATGCATTACATATGTAAATACGATATCTTTCTCTCTCTAACTTTCCACTTCTCTCTCTAAGCTTTTTCTTTTCTGCTCTTTCTGTGGTCTTTTGCTATGGATTTTCTGTATGTAAGATATATGAGAAATCGCCGTTTCTCTCTCTAGAATGGTTGGGTATATGTTATATGCCTCTCTCTCTCTAATATTTATATATATCTGCAAATGGGTAATCAATATTCTATATATGTACACACAGTCACACACACATACTCTTAGCGGATTGTGCGCAGTGTTAATGGTTTTTGTGAAGCGTAATTTTAAAACCAGAGACAAACCATTGAGAATGAGAACTGAAGATTTAACTTACCCTTGTATTTTAGACACAACTACTAAAATGCCACTCCCATCTTAGTGGTTTTCCCTTCAATTTTTTTTTTTCTTCCTAATTTTGGTAAATTGTAAATTCACACTTTTTTCACCAAATTTTTATCACATGCAAGTCCAACATTTTTTTTTTCTTTTCTTTTCTTAAAAATATTTCTTACATGAATACTGATTATGTTAAAACTAAAACAATAAATAAGAAATAAAAAGGTTATCAAAAAGACCTTCAAATTATTATACCACGTGATCAATATTTGATCAACATCGAAATAATTCTATCTTTATTCACTTCGGATATGGCTTAGCGATTTACTTATTGGATTTTAGAACTTAGCAAGCTCAAGATCTGAGGTTCGAGTCCTGCTAGGTGATTTTTGCTGTCTCTGTAATGACTTACCGGATTTTAGAACTTAGCAAGCTCAAGATCTGAGGTTCGAGTCCTGCTAGGTGATTTTTGCTGTCTCTCTAATGACTTACCAGGTCTGAGTAGAAAGATACCTTTTTGAGTTTTTGAAAATTAGTGGAATTGTCAAGTTATCCCAGACATCGAGTTAACTAAAAAAACAAAAAATTTATCTTAACGCATTTCATTTGAGTCATGTTCCTTTTGACCAATACCTTGGGAATAAAGTGCATTCTTTAAAAATATCTATATTTGGAGTTTTACTTTTCTAGAAGGTTTAGCATTCCTTTTAAAAATCTAAATTTGGAGGTTTACTGTTTTTGAAAAAGGTCTACTGATGTTGTCTAAAGATCTTTTAATCAATTGATTAGCTTCTTTCAAATTTTTTATTTTTTATTTTTCAGAAGAAAAAAATAAAAAAGAAAAGAAAAAATGCTTTTCAAACTCACTTTACTTGTCTGAAATGACAAACGACTTAATCGAAAAGTCAATCCAACTAACAAGTTGGGCTTTCCACGTGTCATGTTCGCATTCAGATATTGGATTTTTCTTTTATTTTTTAATTCTTTTTAATCAATATTAATTTGAAGTCAAACAAGCCATAACCAACTAACTCCAACTTAAAATAGCCCTTAATCTTGATTTAGACTCTAGATATCAAGCACTTATCATAAATTATGCCTTGAGATGCAAATTTTGATTCCGCAGCAAAGTTTGACCAATTATATAAACATCATAATCCATTTTTGTCAAAATAATTTGGTATCATTCTTTGGATAATGCTGAATTTGATTTTCAGATAAAGTGAACCTTTATTTGTTTTTTTTATTTTTTATTTTTATTAGCAACACTTGCTTAACTTGTGTTACAAATTTGTGAACTTAACCAAAGTCTTAAATCAAACAATTTCGGTTGACTGCATGAGCACTCCTTGTCCCAAATCAATTCTATGAAGTCTAGTTCGAGAGTACTTGCCATAATTCAAGATTTTGAGGAGAGAAGAGTGAAGAGGCAATAACTCTGCGTGAAACAGTGTTAATCAAAATGAGTTTAGTTGCGATTATTCAATTTATACAAATAAATTTTTAATTTTTTTTTCCCGAGAAGTTAAAAGCTCCTAATAGGATTTGAACTTTGAACTCACAACCTACCCTTTCAGAAAAGAGAGAAAAGCACATATCATCCAGGGTGGTGGTGGTGGTGGTGGTGGTGGTGGACACTTAATTGAATGAACCGAAGTTAAGAGTAATCATCTCATAAGACTAAGCTAAACTTTCTACCAGATTAAAAACTTTTTGATGAACTACAGAATAAATAAAAGAGGACATGAATGAAGATGAAAAAGACAACAAAGATAAAAATGAAAAGGACAAGAAAGCAATTCAACTCATAAATCACTACAAAAAGAATGATACAAGTGAATGACCCACTTGCCTTTTGATTTCCATTTCAAAAGAGCGGGTGTAAATGGTTAATGTCGATTTGGTATAGTCAACTTTACACTAATAGATATATCTCCAATTGATATCCCTATCAATTCTGATGGGATCAACACTGGATTAACACGAGTGCTTAATGTCACAAACGGCCATGGGAAACCGATGAGGAGGACTTTGGATGGTGGAATAAGTGGTGGATGTGTTTGTTGGCACAACGGAAGTATTTAAAAAATTTCAGGATTTAATCCACGTGATTTTTACTCAATCAAAAAATACTGCAAAGGATCTTATATCTTTTTGACAATTGATTAATCGTCAATAATCCGAGAATAACAATAAATTGGATTGTTCTCTTTTGCCCTTGAACACCAATGAGTCTTCACCTTTGTTACCCCACCCAATATAGGTTTTGTGGAACCCTAACCTTCTCTCTCAAAATCTCTGTATTCTGGTTAATGTACAACCAAAATATTTTGTATCCAGCATATATGACTAAAGATACGGTTAAATTATATAGAGCTAGAGATGAGGATCCAAGAGGGCTTCTTTATCCTAGCTACAATTGGATAGAGATAGAGTTAACTCTATCATATCCAATTAATTACAATAAGCACCACAATAGTATTGTAATTGCACTGTAAGATTTAGAAATTACGACAAAGCCCTATCTACTAAATAATTACATATAAGCCCCTCCACTACCGAATATCCATAAGTAGCCCCAGGAAAATATATACCGTCCCACCTAAGGCTTACTTATATTTTATATTCCTTGAGTAACCAATTTAATCCTTATGATCACTGAATTAAGTTCTTTTATAAAAGAATTTTTCAAAATAAATATTTTTCTAAATAAATAATAGAAAAATAATTTAATAAACATTTTACTAAAATGCCCTGGCTAGGTTCCAGTGATCAAACTTATTAAATTGCATCAAGGGGTTGAGCATTTGTGTTTCCAGAGCTCCAATATTAGCCACCTAAGATACCGTTGTATTGACCTTAAAAAGATCTCACACATTGGTAAGTCAAAGTGACTAGTACTGAAACTTGAGTTCACTAAATCTCTCAAGATTTAGAGTCTATGAATTTAGTAGATAAGAAACACACCAGAATAATGACAGTACATTGTATGGTGTGATCTTATGGTGATTCAGTTCAATGTACTCCAAGCACACTAACACACTACCTTAGAGTCAACTACACTAATGGTTGAGACAAACCATCCTATCTTATAGAGGTCAAGTGTGTTACAGTCTTACAGATAAAAGTGCCCAACTTTTATCACTGACTGTGAACAATGTTAAGGTGCAAGAAACTGGTGAGCCCAAATCTCCTACGTTTAAATCTCATTTACACACTTAAGTCACCTATAATACAACTTAAGGACTATAATGTATCTCATACAAATATATCTAAAACCCAATGCATGAATATCACATTTATTAATAAAATATCGAATAAATAATTGGCTTATAATCCCAACAATCTCCCACTTGCACTTAAAGCCAATTACCATTACATCTAACACCCATCCCTTCAACATGAGACTCAAAAACCCTAGTAGGTAGAGTCTTAGTGAAAGGATCTGCAGAGCTATTTGCAAATGCAGTCTTTGTGACAACAATGTCCTTACGCTGAACTATATCTCTAATGAGATGATATTTGCGTTCAATGTGCATTCCCTTCTTGTGGTTCCTCGGTTCCTTGGACTGAGCAATTGCCCCACTATTATCACAATATAAGATAATAGAAGATCGTGCCAGTGGTACCACTCCAAGCTCTAAGAGGAAATTTTTAAGCCATACAGCTTATTTAGCTGCCTCTGAAGCTGTTACGTACTAGGCCTCCATGGTGGAGTCTGCAATGCAAGATTGCTTCACACTCTTCCAACTAATGGCTTCTTCACCAAGGGTAAACACATATCCTGAGGTAGATTTCCTGTTATCCCTATCTGACTAGAAGTCAGAATCTGTGTAACCCACTGGAAGTAAATCATCACCCCCATAGATCAACATGTAATCTCTGGTCCTCCTTAAATATTTAAGGATATGCTTCATCGCTATCCAATGTTCTTGTTCAGGGTTGGACTGATATTTGCTGACCATGCTGACTGCAAAACAGATATCTGGTCTAGTACAAAGCATAGCATACATGAGGCTTCCTACTACTGACGCATAAGGAAATGCCTTCATGCGCTTTTCCTCCTCTGGTGTATTAGGACACTATTGTTTAGAAAGAGCAATTCCATGCCGGAAAGGTAATAAACCCCTATTGGAATTATGCATACCAAACTTGACCAATATCTTATCAGTATAAACAGTCTAAGATAAGCCCAACATTTTATTTTTACGATCTCGCAAAAGCTTAATCCCTAGAATGTAACTGGCTTCTCCTAAGTCCTTCATATCAAATTGATTGGATAACCAAATTTTTACTGTTGATAACATTCCTACATCATTCCCAATTAGTAGTATGTCATCAACATATAAAAGTAGAAACACCACCACGTTTCCTTCACTCTTCTTATATACACAAGATTCTTCCGGATTCTGATCAAATCCAAAAGATTTGACTGCTAGATCAAACCGAATGTTCCAACTATGAGACGCTTGCTTAAGTCCATAAATAAACCAATGTAACTTGCATACCATATGCTTTTGGCCTTTTGCTATGAACCCATCTGGCTGCATCATATAGATGTCTTCCTCAAGATGACCATTCATTATATAATCTTCCTCGAGAAAAACAGCATTCGTGCTAACGAATACTTTTTGCTCCTTAGGATCATAAAATGAATAACCCTTTGTACCCTTTGGGTAGCCTACAAAAAGACAAACATCTGATCTTGGTCCCATCTTCTCAAGCTTTCCTCTCCGCACATGTGCATGACACCCCCATATACGTAAATGTTGTAAACTGGGCTTACGCCCAGCCCACAATTCCTAAGGAGTGTTAGGAACTACTTTAGATAGAGCTAAGTTCAGAATATAAATCGCCGTTTCTAGAGCGTATCCCTAAAAGAATACTGGTAGACTTGAATAACTAATTATCGATCTTACCATGTCAAGTGAGGCTCTATTCCTTCTTTCAGCAACACCATT